CCCCAAAACCCCAAAACCCCAAAACCCCTAAAGACCAATTAGGCTCGAAAAATAGATGAAATAGATGACTAATTATTTGATAAATCAAATCAATTTATCGATTCGCCGCCCTTAAGATAAATAGAGTAATAATTATAGGAGAATTATTATTTTTTGCTTTAATATTTTTTGAGGCAAGCCCACAAGCTACAACCCAAAACAACAACCAAATGGACAGACAGTAAGTCCTCCTAATTTGTTTATAATACTCTCTTAGAAACAACAACTAAGGTGAAGAGGAGAAGAGAACCGACTCCGAAGCTCAACAGTAAGGTAAGTTTTCACAATCATCTAAAACTAATCTAATCGTCTTGGTATAATAGAAGAAGAAGAATTCATCACCAACTGGGATGAAGTAGTCGAGAGCTTCGATGATATGGGACTTAAAGAAGGAGTACTCAGAGGTATCTACGGTCACGGTTTCGTAAAACCTTCTCCAATTCAACAAAAAGGTATTCTACCTGTAATCCAAGGCAAGGATACTATTGCACAAGTAAACCTATATTAAATATAATGATTGAAATTAGGCACAATCAGGTACTGGTAAAACTGGATGCTTTACCATCTCAATTCTTTCAATCATCGATACAGCCTCAATTAACACTTAGGCTTTGATCGTTGCCCCAACCAGAGAGCTCGCTCAATAAATTGCTTACGTAGTCTAGGCTATTGGTGAGTTCATCTAAGTGAAGGTTCACGCATGCGTTGGAGGAACCGTTGTTAGAGATGAAATCAGAATTCTGAAACAAGGAGTTCACGTCGTAGTCGGCACACCAGGAAGAGTCTTAGACATGATGAAGAAAGGATTCTTAAAGGCTGATCATCTTAGAGTCTTCTGCCTCGATGAAGCTGATGAAATGCTCTCAAGAGGTTTCAAAACTCAAATTTAAGACATCTTTAAGTACTTGCCCGCTGAAATCTAAATCGCTTTATTCTCAGCTACCATGCCAATTGATATTCTTAAGTTGACAAAGCACTTCATGAGAGACCCAGCAAAGATCTTGGTAAAGAATGAAGACCTTACCCTTGAAGGTATCAAGCAATATTACATTCCAATTGAAAAGGAGGAGTGGAAAATCGATATCTTGCTTGATCTCTACGGTAATCTCGACATTAATCAAGCTTTGATCTATTGCAACACAAAGAAGAGAGTCACTGAGCTCGCAGAACTCATGAAGGAAAAAGACTTCGTTGTCTCAGCTATGCACGGAGAGATGGATCAACTTACTAGAGATATGATCATGAAGGAGTTCAGAACTGGTTCAACCAGAGTTCTTATCACCACTGACTTGATGGCCAGAGGTATTGACGTACAACAGGTCAGTCTAGTCATTAACTACGAACTCCCCCAAAAGAAGGAGAACTACATTCATAGAATCGGTAGAGCTGGTAGATATGGTAGAAAAGGAACTGCCATTAACTTCGTCTCACCAAACGACGCTAGATTCATTAAGGAGATTCAGGAGCATTTCAGTACTCAAATTGAAGAAATGCCACAAGATTTGAATGAATTAAACTGAGCGTGACTTGATGCATACTTGCTTGCTTGGATTAACTTTTCTTTCTCTTTTCATAATTTTTGCATAGACTCTTTCTTTCGATTTCTGACATACGGGGTTTTGGGGTTTTGGGGTTTTGGGGTTTTGGGG